ATTCGGATGTCATGTTCCCCAAGACGACAACTGGCAACATGAGCATCTCGAATCTGTGAGGACATCGATGCGAGGTTCATGTCTTTCAAGACCCAAGCCTTTCGCAGCCTTGCTGACACCGCCACCCGCGCCATTCTCACTTGCGTCCCAGAACTTGCAGTGATCGAGTTCATCCTTGACGCAGAAAGAAAGTTCCACGTCGTACTAGAGGATAGTGTTGACGTCAAGTCAATCTGGGCCCGACTGCCCGGGCGCATCGCGAAGTGTTGGACGATGTACCTGTTTGAGAAAGATCTATGCCGACCAGATATGAGAGATCGCAAAGCCCTGCGCCAAAAGATGTCGAATGCTATACAAAGTATTGTGGATGACACAGCTTATAACGTCCTTCGCCCTGGCGTCCTCATCTCCAGTTTTGCCTTTGATGACTCCAACAGGAGGGGCTTCTACTCTACTTCTTCTGGTGTGCTAGTCAAAAACGGTGCCGACGACAAGTTCATGACCGGCGCATCCCACGGCATAGGCAAAACCGAGACTGTTCACCAGACTTTGTCGTCTGGAGACCAGCGGGTAGTCGGCAGGGCCGTGGCAGAGCTTAGCTTCACAGATATCTCACTCATACAGCTTCAGCCTCAAGTCGAATTCGTCAACGAAGCCTTTGAACAGCAGGGTGAGTCAGTCCCTCCATTCACCACACTGCTTGGAGAAGACTTGAACGACGAGATCGATATGATGCGAAGTGTTTTCTTCAACAGTCCTCAAACGGTGCCATGGAAGGCCTCGTAATGGCCAAAGGTTGGAAGATACATAATCGCAGTAGTGAAAAGGACTCACCCGCGAGAAAGCCGAATTAGAGTACGTCGTCTACGACTGGGTATACCTTGGGCAGAAATGAGTTGCCTCCGAACGTTTCGACCATTCCTAACCGGGAGCTGCGGCTCTGCTATATGGGACGACATGGGCCGAATTATTGGCTTCTTCCATCATCACTTGACGGAGGGATCTTTCAAGGGATTCTACGCCTCGGTATCCGCGGACGAGGTGGTCAAAGCAGGATACCGACTGGCTTCAGCGCCCAGCTGGTAAGACTCAGCCTGGAAAGAAAATTGATTGCAGCTGGGGGCACGGGCGGCCAGCGGCCAGCGCCCAGGGGGCCATCGACCATTCGGCCAGCGGCGGTTGGAACAGTTGGGCGCCGCGGCTCTCGCGTCTCTGGCGGGAAAGCCCCCCACCTTGGCCCAGCAGGAGGAGGAGATCCTTCAGCTCCTCTCGCATCTTCGCATCCTCCAATTTTCCCATTCTCCCCCCATCCCTGGCGCGGCATGGCACAGTAGGATCGTCTCATTTCTTTCACCACTCTGTCTTGGATCACGGACCCGAGGGCTTGGACAGCCGATAATGAACGACGAGCCTTCAAACTTACTTTCCGATCCTTTCCCTGCCCTCGCCACAATGCTCCATTCGCTCGGGTAGGGCCCTACCTCCCTGACTCGACACCCCAGCACAGTCGACGGCCGACACTCGCGAGGCTTGATCCATCATGTCTATCCTACCCATCGGGACCATCAAGATCTCGCCGATTCCTCTTGATCACGAGCGACGACGGACGTGAATCCTTCGAGATGCGGTGAAGCCAGCAAAGCCAAAAACCACTGTCAAAGGCTTCTTAGACGCCGCATACCAGCCTCTGTTGTCGACTCGATAATCCCCGCATCCCAGCGATTGGGCGGCACAAAGCCATGTCGGCAGGGTTCAGGGGCCCATTCGGCGCTTGCGCCTCGATTCCCACGACTTCGCGACGCCCGAAATAGCCAACCACGCCTCGAATCGCCCCTCCTTCGTGTGTGCTCATGCGAGCCACGGAACCATCACCACCAGGACAGTGTCTTCCGTTTCGTTTGTTTCCCAGACCCGCCCGCGTCTATCTGTCTCCAGACCCTGTGCCATGCCTCTTGTCACACTGCATGCATATGCGGGCTAGCAACGCGGCGCTTCAAGGCCAGGCCCCGGCCTGACATGGAAGGCCTCGCTCCCTCAGTTGCTGACCACCATGTTGGGCCTGTGTTCCTCGTTGCGTTCATATATGAACTATAGGCGCCGTCCCTCCTCACCCCACCGCTCTCCTATTATCTTCTCGTTTGTCTGAACCAACGCAACTCACACACACACACACACACATTTGTCAGGCCCGAGTGGCGACGTGCCTGTTGCACCTTGTCTCGTCTGCCGGTCCAGGTCAAGACAGAGAGGCAGCCATCAGTCAAAGTTGCTTGCCGTGCTCTACACATTGTCTAACAGCTCACGAGGCCAAACCAAGGGCACAGAGCAGGAGCCATGTCGACATCGATGGCGCCCGCCTCGCGGAGGCCGAAACTCTCCCTCAGTATCAAGCCTGCCACAGGCCCCAAGCCGAGATCATCCAAGACGCTCGCTGTCGTGGATCCCAAGTCTCCGACGGCCTTCAACACACTGTCCAATGTCTATGTCACCGCCATCGAGCGCTCGACGCCCGTCACTGCCATCAACACTCACCAGACACCTCAGCTCCACATTCACACCGGCATGAGTGATCTCAAGGATCACCAGCGACGTATCCCAAACCCCGTATGCTGCTTCCTATCCGGAGACGCCTCTGACGGCGAATCCCGCTTCGCCATCCGCCATGGAGGCCTTCTTCCCCAGCATCATGACGGCGACGCCTCCACTGTCGGCTGGGCCCGTCGAGCCCACTGACCCCAAGGTCTTCACCTTCGGAACAACAGAGGCACCGAGTCTCTCCATCACCGCAATCACCACACAGATCGAGCCGCGGACGCCCCGCAGGCGAGCCACCCTCTCCGGCTCATCCGCACCATGGCTCAAGCCTCCTTACTCGCACCCTCGGTCCCTTCACAGCATTCTCCGAAACTCACCATTGCCACCGCCCACAGCACAAACCCCAATGTCGCCTAGGCGGCAGTCTCTCCGGCTCCAGGAGAAAGCTGCTCGTCGCGTGGCGTACAATAGCCCCATTGAACAGACCATTATCACGAACAAGTACACCAAGTCACACATAGACCTGCTCATCGACGACATTTCGCCTCGGTCCCCCGCCCTCCCCGGCCAGGATCCAGACACGGTTCTCGACCTTGCCCTCGCCTTCACAAGCGACGAGACGCGCGACGGAGGTCAAACGCCAGGACCTTTCGAGGAGATGCGTCGGCGCATGGCCGGACTCGTAGCCACAACACCGACAGCACTGTCACCGTCTGGACCTGGAGGTGTCCGTAAGCGGAGAAAGAAGGAGAAGAAACGGAGATGGGTGTGGACGATAGGGCAGGGCGAGGACGGCGACGAGGAAGTGGGCGGTGCCATGGCGGCAATGAGGGCCGTGGAGGCCAAGGCCGCTTCGGAGCCGCCGCCCCAGATCACGATACCGTCGCGGGGGGCGCAGTGCTTGATGGAGGATCTGCCGACGCCTAGCGTGGAGACGTTTGATGAGTGTGAGGATGTCGAGATGGCCGACTCGAGCAGTGTCGCGTCAGACAGTCGAGCCGTGACACCCGGTGATGGAGATATGGACCTGAAGACGCCGACGCTGGCGAGAAAGGGTGGCGAGGGGGTGGTAGCCAGGAGGAGCGTCGACCGGCTCGGGTCGGTGGACCTGTTCAACCCAGAGACAGGCAGCCGGAGAGATACGCCGGTGCCGCCGGACATGATGGTCACATGAGGACTCGCGGAACTTCAAGAGAAAAAGGCGACATCGCATCTGTAATCTGGTGGTGTATTATTATCAAGAGCGGTTGGGATATCCATAATGACTGAATGATGACTATGAATTTGGAACAAAAGCTGTTGTGCTCCTTGTCTTGCGTGCACGACACTCTTCGCGTCGAAGGCATACTGTTCTGCAGCCAAGTGAATTATGAGCACTTGTGCAATGGTCTGTGTCCTGTGGGAAGGCTCTTCGTTGTTTGGGAGAACGAGTCCTCACCAACCAATGTGCGGAATGGACACATTAGCCTCCAGCTGTATTATTGGATTGAACTTTGCGCCAAGAGGAAGGGGTAAAAAAAGGAAAGAATTGATGGATCAGATCACGACGGGCACCTGACGGGTTGCTCCGAGGCTCCTTGATTCTGATAGCGTCAGCTCGAGTCGGTGGCCGGTTAAGAAGAAAGCCCGGCTCGCACACGTTCACGATGTCCACGACTCTCCATCATGTTCACGACCCTCCATCACCTGCAAATTGTGTCCACACATGCATGGCCGCATGGCTCTCCAAAAGCTTGTGCACCGATATTGACCCGAGGAGGACGTAATCTGGACGAGTCTACAGTACCTTATTGACCCACGTTGCCAAACATTAGTCGCTCGAGAGCGCCACACGCAAACAGTCATGACGACCAGCCGCCTACGCAAGCCCACAAAGCCACGAAACAAGGCCCCGCGGCCGCAGATCAGGAAAGCTTGCACTGCCTGACCTGCAAAGGTCGCACCTTGGTACCTACCTAGAAAGGAAAGCGAAAGCAGTGTCTGCGGCGTGTGGGGAGGAAAAGCAGCTGAAAAGAACCCAGGACGACGAGAGGGAGGGAGGAATGGGAATCGGATCATGGCAGGGATTGGGTGAGGCGCTACGGAGCGTCGTCTAGCGCTGTCAATCCGACCGGTTTAGCGCGTGCCAGCTGCTGCACTCCCCGGCCCCCCCTTTTGCGTCGAGCGACAGGCTTGTGCAGAGGACTTTGGGGAGGGGCTGCTTCTGGGGCGCACCGACGCCGCAAGGGCCAACACGACCTGGTACCGGGGACATGGAGGCTGCTAGGGCCGAGACCACAACCCCACCAGGGAGCTGCAGTGTGAGGTTGGACAGGAGCTCGCCAACGACGTCATACTGCGCTGTCGCCGCCCGCCAAACGCACCAACGCATGTGTAATGATGGCAATCCTGGACTGGGATCCGGGAAAACGAAAACAAGCTACTGCTTGGTTCTGCGGCGGCGGCGGGGGGGCCTGGATCATCGATCCCATCGAGACGGGAGTTGCAAATGCACCAAGATGAGCGACCGCTAAAACCAGGAGCAGCAGCAAGCTGAAGCAGAGACCCAGGCAGGAGCATACGCCCAACGAAGCCTTCCTCCCCCTCCCGGACCTGTTCCTCCTCTTCTCCTCTCGTGTGCCGGGCTGTTCGATCTTCTTTAAACATCCTATACCCCTTCCAGGTTCATCAACCTGCCCCCGACCGCTTTTCCCTCCTCTCTCTTCTCCTCTGGACCCCCCCCAATCTGCCGGCCCCCTCGATCGTGTCGTGTCGTACTAATGAGCCGAGGCCATTGACATCGCCGCCATGGAACACGAACCGCCTGTTGGCGGCCAGCACTACAGCGGCCGAAACAGGATCCCCAACATTCAGGAGTTTGTCGCCCAGCTTGACAAGGAAAAGGCTGAGCGTGATGCTGCCATTGATGCCGAGCTCAAGAACAACAAGGCCAAGGGTGAGACCCTGGACCATATTCCTGAGAAGAAGCACCGCCTACACAAGAACAAGAAGACCAAGACTGTTCGCGACCCCGTCACCGGTAAAGATGTAGAGATCGAGGACGCCAAGACGGACTTCAAAGAGGCTGTTGAAAACCCCAAGGTGCATTTCCTCCGCCCCGACCCCAAGACCCTCTGACGTCATCGTAACAACTTTCAACAGATTTCCATTCCCAACGAAAACCTCGGCAAAGAAGCGACCGTCGCGACCTCCTCAGACCAGTCGGGCGAAGAGTACCGTCGTGCCCAGGATATCACGGCCCCGCCTGACCCCGTCGAGCCGGGCAGCACCTCCGACGTGCCCATTCACAGCGAGAAGACCAATGTCCTCTTTTACAAGACTCCCAGTGTCAGCTATGAGCCCATGTTCGAGGCCCTCGAGGCCCGCGCCAATGTCATGTGCGCCGCCATCTTCTTCGGCATCATCTTGATTGGCAAGTTCTTCGGCGGCAGCCTCTGGGGGCTGATGCCCCTGTCTGTTTGCATTGCGAGCGGTGTCTACCTCTGGTGCCGCGAGCTCATTCAGCAGGGACGCAACGTGGAGTGGTCGAGCGAGAAGGAGCGTGGTGAGACGGCCACCGTCAACCTTGTGCCTGAGTCTGTTGAGGTGAGTAGGGGCCGCCCCTTGCTTTCTTTTGGTCTTGGTATACACCTGACAGTCCTGACAATCCTGACAACCCGCAGTGGATGAACACAGCCCTGGGCATCATGTGGGGTCTCATCAACCCTGAAATGTTCGCCGGTGTTGCCGACACGCTCGAGGACGTCATGGTGGCCTCCATTCCCGGCATCGTCGAGAATGTTCGTGTTGCCGATATCTCTCAGGGATCGAACCCCATTCGCATCCTGAGCCTGCGCGCCCTGCCCGACGACCACATGAAGGACGTCAAGGAGGAGACGCGCAAGCAGACCGAGAAGAACACCGACCCCAACGAGCTCGCCGCCATGGAGCAGGCTGGCTCCTACTACAACCTCGAGGCCTCCATCGCTTATCACGCGAAGCCGTCCGGCGGTGACATCTCGTCCAAGGCCCGCAACATGGGCATGCAGCTTGTCTTCTACCTCGGTGTCCGTGGCCTTATCGGCATCCCTCTGCCCATCTGGGTCGAGCTGCAGGGCCTCGTGGCAACGGCACGGATCCGCCTCCAGCTCGTGCCTGAGCCTCCTTTCCTCAAGACCTTGACTTTTACGCTCATGGGCGTCCCCAAGGTGCAAGCCGGCTGCACGCCCATGATTGAAAAGGGTGTCAACATTCTGAACCTCCCCATCATTTCCAACTTTGTCAACTGGGCCATCGGTGCTGCGGCGTCCATGTACGTCGCGCCGAAGAGCATGACCCTTGACATGAGCAAGATGATCCAGGGCGACGACATCAAAAAGGAGACCCAGGCCCTCGGCGTCCTCTTCGTCCGTATCCACCGTGCCACCGGCCTCAGCAAGCAGGACAGACGTGGCAGCGACGGCGGCGGATCGGACCCGTACATCACCATTGCGTGGAGCAAGTTTGGGAAGCCCCAATTCTGCACACGTGTCATTCAAGACGACCTCAATCCCATCTTCGAAGAGAGCTGTGGTCTTCTTGTCACCGCCGATCTCATCAAGGCCGACGAGCAGCTCTCTGTCGAGCTTTGGGACAGCGACCGCGCTTCGGCCGACGATGTCGTCGGCAAGGTCGAGCTCAGCATCCAGAAGCTCATCCAGCACCCCGGCAAGATGTTCCCGCAGGTCTCGAAACTGCGCGGCGTCAAGGCCGAGAGCGAGATGCCCGGCGAACTGGTATGGGAGGTCGGCTACTTTGGCAAGACGCAGTTCCGCAAGGCACTCCGCACTGACGGCCGTGATGTCAACCTCCCCAAGGAGCTCAAGGACAAGAAGGAGCTGCAGGACGACAAGGGCGCCATCGACACGGCCGAGGAAGACTCTGTTGTGCACACCCCCCCCGACCCGCTGTGGCCCTCGGGTATTCTCAGCATCGTCGTGCACCAGATTGTCGGTCTCGAGCTCGCCAACATCACGGGCTCCCAGGGCAACCGCAAGGGCCGCGAGTTCGAGCCCGCGCGTCCCGAGGCCGGCGAGGTCAAGGAAGAGTCGGGCAAGAAGTTGCCGAGCTCATACTGCACCATTCTCATCAACGACGAGCTCGCCTACAAGACACGCACCAAAGTCGTGTCGTCGCATCCCATCTTCAATGCCGGTACCGAGCGCTTCGTGCGCGACTGGAAGTCTTGCATCGTCACGGTTGCCGTCCGCGACTCGCGCAACAGGCAGCACGACCCCATCATCGGTGTCGTACCGCTCAAGGTGTCGGACATTCTCCAGACGGGCAGCGAGGCCACGCGCTGGTACCCTCTCGACGGGGGCATCGGCTTCGGCCGGATCCGCATCTCGCTGCTGTTCCGGTCCTGCGAGCTCAGGCTGCCGCCGAGCCAGATGGGCTGGGACATTGGCACATTTGAGTTCCTGGGCAACAACATCAAGGCCGAGCGCTACGGCCGGTCCAAGACCAAGGTGCGTCTCCGGACCGGTGGCAGCTCGGCGTCGATCAAGCGCGACGCGTGCACGAAGCACACCGAGGGCGAAGGCATGGACTGGGACATTAGCGGCGAGAACAAGCACGACAAGATCCGGCTGCCGGTCCGCTACCGCTACCGGTCGCCCATCTTTTTCGAGTTTTACCCGGCCGGCAAGCGGCACCCCGATGCGTATGCATCGCTGTGGCTGCAGGAGCTGGTGGACCTTGAGGAACACGACTTTGACCTGCCCATCTGGAAGTGCGACAACGGTACACGTCTCGCGCAGAACTTCATCACGCAGGACAACTTCAAGGACGTGCCGTTGCTCAAGGGGCAGGAGGTCGGCCGCCTCCGAATCCGGGGCCGGTTCTCTTTTGTGACGGATCGGGGCCACATCAAGTTTGTCTCGGGAACAACTCGCGCGATATGATCGATACGTGGGAGGCGTGCTTCGCCGAGGTTTTTCGGGGGGAGGGGGTGGCTGCAAAGTTTTTCTATAGATTCAGACTTGCGGATGAGTCCCTGACGCAG